TATATCTGTACAAAATCAAGGCAGTTGATTCAAATGCTTTATAGGAGGATTCCTGAACGTTGCTTCTTATTTTTCCTACAAGTTAAATAAACCAACACAGAGATCGTCGTAATTTTATACTAGGAGTGTAGTAGTAGCATCCACCATCATACAAATTAATTTTACATGCCGAGATTGTAATTTTTCTCTGTATATAACGTGTGTCTTCTATATTTATGTTTAATATTTATGCATTGTATGTATATATTTAGGCAACTGTACAAATTAATTGTCTTATTATTTAAGCAGTCTACCTCTTATGTTATATATATATATATATGTATGTATGTTATGTAATATATATATATATGCATACGTACGCTTATTTTACAATTTTTTTTTTCTTTTTATCAACCATTCACCTTTACCCTTTTTTATTTTTTTTTTAATTATTATTATTATTATTATTATTATTATTATTATTAATTATACAACCCTTAATTAAATATAAAATGAAGAAGTAGTAGCAGGAAAACTAAATAACAATGTAATTAGGAGACTTGTGCATAAAAGCAGCATATTTTATAGTCTTATAAAGGTGCGTTGTCTATGTGTGTATTGTCTGATTGGTTTTTTTTCTTCCTTTTTTTCTTTCATGCTAATTTCCTTCCTCTTTTCACATTTTTTATTTATTTATTTATTATTATCATTATATAAAGAAGCTCTTATTTCATCTAATTATTTTCTTACAAAACAAAATCATTATTATTGTGTGTTTTATATATATATATACGTGTGTGTGTATGTGTGCTCAATGTTTTTATAATGAAATATACGTAAAATTATTTACATTGGTATTATATTACATAATTATTCTCATCTCCATTTCTTTTTTATTATTATTATTATTATTATTATTATTATTATTATTATTCTGTTTTATTTTAAAAAGAGATAATCTTGCACCAGTTGATAGTAGTTTAATTGGAAAAGCTTTTTTTCTTGTTTTCTTTTTATCATTTTTTATCGCATTAAGATAAATTCCCCGCATTAATCGGGAAAATATGATTTTTTTTTATCTATGCAGTGTTATATATATATATATATATAATTCTAAAATCTAATCATAAAATTACTATGAAACTTTATTTATTATATTTATCATTATTATATATAGCTCTCACACGCTAAGCTATTATTATTAAATTCGTTAGAATAATAAAACAAAATATCGCCGCTTATGAAATGGCAATTGAAGACTATGAAAAGAAATATGTACAACACATTATTATATCGAAAAAAAAGGTTATGTTAACCTTGTAAGAAGACTTTTTAATAAATCAATCCGATATTTCCCAAAATTAGTCCTTATGCGAGGTTTTCATCATTTGTTGGAAGAAAAATCTAATATGGAAGGAAAAAATCATTTGGAAATAGAATTTTTCTTCATTTTTTTCTCTCTCGTCTCCTCTTACCCCCCACCCCCCACAGAGTTTGCAAAATGGTGTATATATATATCTAAAATCTATTGCTTTTTTTTTTATTATTATTATTATTGCAGGTGTGTACGCGTATATATTTCAGGTATAAAAATATAAGAGATGCTTAAATGCTTTATTTTTTTCTTTTCGTAGAAATGAATCGTAAAACTTGTTAAGTAGTATTTTGAGTAAAATGCATCTCAATTTTGTTTTCTTTCTATACGATGTAGTAGTAGTAGTAGTAGTAGTAGTAGTAGTAGTAGTAGTAGTAGCAGTATTGTAATATTTTTGACAATGTTTTAATATATAAATACCGGTTATGCGATAAAGTATGACTAGTGCGTTTTAACAAGAATTATAAGGACATGTTTTAATCAATTTAACGGATCATCATCATCATCTTCATTATCATCATCACGGTGTGCAGAACGTATTTTTTTTTCTATTTTATAGCAGAGTATTATATTTCTACTATATATATATATAAATTTATTCATTTATAAGTATATATATATGCTAATTACATAAGTATACGGTAAAATGCATAAAATATAGGTAACTAAAATATTTTTTTTTCTTTCTTTCAATAATCATTTTTGTCGGGAAAAAAATTATAAAAAAAAATAAAAAAAATGTCCGTTCAAAGAAAGAATCTATCGAAAAGAAAACGCTCGTGTTAACTATTTACGATATAATCTCATTTTCTCAATTTTTTTTTCTCATTTTTTTCTTTTTTCTTTTTTTCTTTTTTAAATATAATAATAACAACAACAAAATATTACAATTAGATTTGTTTGGCCGTTTTCATGTCTCCTTTCTGATTATAATTCAATATTTACAAGATGTTATACAAAGTGAACGACACTGTTGTTAAATAAATGAAATTAATCACTTGTCCTTATTTCAATTAATTTTTGTTTCTTCTTAGGGACGACATTATTATTTACAAGTCATTTATTTTTATTCAAATTCAAGATGGCTCTTACCCTGCGTATATATATATATATATATATATATATATATATATNTATATATATATATATATATATATATATATATATGTATATGTATAGATGTGTATATACAAATTTATCGTATTACTTTAACTATACGACACGAAATAAATAACAAGTAGTAGTAGATGTTTTATTAATGATGAATATGAAATCCAACATGACCTTGAACGTGTGTAATATCATGATTTAGTAATGTTTTACTTAAAAAAAAAAAAAAAATTACTTCCCGTTACACCTGAGGAACGTTTTCTTTTTATCTTATCATTTTTTATTATTTTTTTTCCTTTTTCTTTTATTATTTTTTTTTTTAAACGAAACGTGCATTCGAACGAGTTATTTTTCTATCGGCAGTGATTCATGTAAATCGTTTAAACGCTTAAGTTTCTCTCCAACTTTGAAAAAAGTCATTGCACGAAATTCGCAAATAAAATTATGTGCTGTATAAATGATTAATTAACAAATAAATAACAGTTTTTTTTAGAAAAATTATATGTTTTCTTAACATGTAATCCTATAATATAATAAATGATAAAAGCTATCTATTACAACGAAGAACACGTTGAAAAAAGAAGAAAAATAAAATTTCGATAGCATACTCTCTCTCTCTCTCTCTCTCTCTCTCGTTCGACGCACTTTTTAGAATAATCTTTTTTTTTTCCTTAGTATCTACACTATAGGAAAAAGATTTGTATTATATTTGGCAATTTGAAATATCTGGTTTTTTTTTGCTATCTACTTGCCTTTTCTTTTTTTTTATAATTATATATATATATATATATTACATCATATATGTTATGTATGTATGTATGAATATGCTTGTATACAAAACTTTTTTTTCTTTTTTTTTTTTTTAGCAATAATATATACATATCACTGTAAACGCGCGAATTCTAAATAAGGATTGACAAAATTAAGAAAATTATATATAAAATAGAAATTTTTCTATTGGGGGAAAAATATATGATTACTTCAAAAAACAAAACAAAACAAAACAAAACAAAAATTACAAATAAAAATAACATCGATAAAGATTATAAACCTGCAGCTTAATTCCTTTCATTTCTTTTTTTTTTGTCGCGTTGCTTTCTAAGCGATTACAAACGTGATATTATTATTTTTATGCCAACATTTTAAAAAATTTTTTTTTTGTTTACTCTTTCTCTCTTTGCAACTTAATAAAAGTAATAGTACTTTTATAATAATAATATATAGTACTATTCTGTTTCATAAGCGGCAGCATCGCATAAAAATAAAATTATTTGTCTAATATACACATTATAAATTAAATACAAGTCAATTAACACACATATCAAATATTTTCCTAAATCTTATAGTTTTTTTTTCTCAATTATTATATATCATAATAATCATATAACTTGTCAATTATTTGTGTCCTATTATATTTTTAAGAATTAAACAATTCATTTGTATATTTACAATTTCTGTAATTATAGACTGTAGCAATATAAACAATAATAATTATTGTTTATAGCAATGATAGTAATATCCAGCAAAAACAGTAATAGTAATATTATTACTAATAAGAATAATAGTAATAGTATCACTAGAAATAACAGTTGGTAGCGATAGTAATAAATAGTATATGTATTCTTAAATATGCAGATACTACATCACTGCATATTTTTATCAATTATCATTATTTAGATGAAATATTGGAGTAAAAGTTTTGCCAACTTTTTTACTTTTTTCTTCTTCTCCTTCTCCTTCATCTAATTAAAGTAAAGACTACTTTAATTCATATTAGTCAATTTAAAACACAAGAAAGGCATATACAATATATAACAACGATTCGCGGCAAATATATACAAGCGAGAGTTTCACCAAAAATGTGTGTTTTACGGGCCGTTCCGTTATATTTTTCACAGCACGTTTCTTAGTTGGCTTACCCCAACGAACTGTCAAAAGTTTCTCATATTTCTGAACATAATTTTATTGTGATCAAATGAACTATTCATTTTATTCGTCATCATAGAAAATAATTCAACGAAAAAGGTTTTTCACTACCTCTTTCTCTTTAATTTGTCCTTTATGAATATCATAAATACAATTGACAATGGTGAAATAGTCAATTATAGAAATAATATGTCTGGAATTAATTTTTTCACCTTTTCCTTTATCGATATTTCAGAAGAAAAGTGATACTTCATAGACAAATTATAAATAAATTGATCACATCTAATGCATCGATGAAGTATTTCAAGTTCAAGGCTTCTGTTGTTGTTCGTTCTTGTTGGTAGATTGATTTCTGGCAGTGTTTAAAACTTTACTGGTCTCGTAAGATTTACTCGAGAGGGAACAAGAATTTGGTCTACTTCTTGTTTGTTGTTGCTTATTATTTACATCACGCTGATTACTACTCGACGATGCACCTGAATCATTCTTTCGTCTTGAATATCCCATTTTTCCAGAACCGAAAGAACATGCTCTACTACGAACATGCGATGCATTATTACTCATGTCCATACGTGTCTTTTGATTATTAATAATTGCATCGTTATTAGACGTTGTTGCTAACATAACCGCACAAGAATCACCCGAAAATCGTCTGACTATATTTACAGAAGCACTATCAATTACACTACTTGCACTTCCACTTCCACTTGCACTTGCACCTGGAATTGCAACTGCACCTACACCTCCTACATATCCACTTCCACTTTCGGAAAGACTTCTATTACGTTTGTTCGATGCAAATGGTTGAGCATTTATCGAAAATCCTTGAAGCATCTCGTTAATTTGAGGCTGTATAAACAAATATTCATTTCAATTCATTTATTTTATAATATAAGATAAGAAAGTAACAAGATAAAAAAATAAAAGAAATAAATTATACCTCTTCGACTCTGAAGTCTTCGATGCTATTGAATTTGGACAAATATTCTTGCAATTGCGGATCAATATAAAGACTCGCAGAATTTTTATAATATTTCAAGAAAGCCCAGAACTTCTCTARACCGTACAGTTGTCCTATTATCAAATCAAAYAACAAATAATTARTTATRAATATTTTTGTATTAATGATAWTATTAGGTGAACYGGAAARTAATGTCGYTTTCTAAYMTTAAATTTAAACGAATAAATTTTTAACAAGTTTTTATTTTTAATCAATAACCTAATCATCCCTCGTTATCAACCTTTTTTCATCTAGTATGCAAATTTTTAATACTGGACAGATAAAAATTAATCGGTTTTGATTATAATATAAAAATTGACATGCGTAGAGACGACATTAATTTCCGGTCCCCAATATATAAACATGAATTATATACAGGTAGCTCTCCTACAACACGGCATCCTATAACACGATTACGTTTAAAAAAAAACCTTTGTACAACACTGCATTTTTACAGCCCGCCGCGGCTTGTCGTCTTAAAAATACAGTGTTGCGGAAAGTATTTCCTTTCATCACYATGGCTTGAAAACAAAAGTTTTTGGCTTATGGCTTCTGGGTCTTATACAACACGATTTCACACAACACGGCATTTTCTAGGAACCTATCTACCATGTTATAGGAGGATTATCTGTATATGAAGTATGCTTTTGTCGAGTTATATCGTCTACTAGAAAAGATTCAAATTTCATCATGTCTATGTAGACAAGACTTTAAGTCAAAACCCTTTTACTTTAGCACAATCTTACCATTTAGCTACGTAGCAAAATACCGTAACTAAATAACCTATTATGTGCATGATTATGTTAACACGACCGCTAGTCTATAAATAGGCTTTTTTTTGTCACCGACGCTTACCGAACACAAATTTATTAATCAGCTTTTTGTCATCTACCGAAAACTTAGTTATCGGTTGACATTGTGATAAAATCACTATCATTACATGAACAGTAATTTGTTATTAGAATCTTATTCAGCATCCTATTAAAATTTGTTAGTAGAATCTGCGGCTGAACTGTCGGTCAAACGTGCATATGCTATTGGAACCCTAGCGGTCGGTAAGGTGTTAATAGAAAATTTATTATTTGTACTCACCACGCTCGTAATCATCTATCGTCTCCAATTGAAAATCTTGATACAACATAGATCTGAATTTGATCTCCAGACCATAACTATAAAATCGAAATAGACACTCSAGTCCATAACGGTAACCTTCTAAGGCATCTTCTTTTGCTAAGGTTCTAAATTCTTCATACATGGCACGATTGAAATTTTGTCGCAAGAAGAAGGACCAGAAGCGGAAGAGCGTGTTCATTTCTTGAGATTGTCCAATTCCTAATCTTTTCCGTTCTAAAATAAAAAAGAATATTT